GAGTTCTTATTACATAATATGTTTTCTTTGCATAACCAAACAAGTTGTATGCAACCGTTTTCCGCTCAATTTCCACGCCAACGGGTGGAATTTAAGACAAAGTAACTATAGTAAAGATTTCAGATGGCGGCTTGGACTATGCCCCGATCACCTATTGGTTAAACAGGAGAATTAGTTGAATATATATCTATTTATAATCTCGGATCTAAATACTCTTTTAGGTATAAAGCAGACTCTATATAACTCGATATCGATAGAAGATATTGGGCTAAGATTGTGAAGCTCGGAATAGATTTCGTGTCTTAGTTTTTCGTTCGGTTGTTTTTTCGAGGTAAGGCTTATTGCTTACCAAACTAGCTTTTAAGTGCAGACTCTAGTTTGTGTGTAAAAAAAAGGTCGCTGGCTCAACTCGCGGCGCCCTGACTGAGGTTCGCGAAGCTGATTTTTCACAAACTCGATGCCAAAAGCGAACTGGCATTTTCTATGCCAAACAAATAAGCTTTTAGAGTGTTGAGTGTACGACTGCTGCTCCTAAAGAGAGTGTATCAAATAGGTCGTATATTCCTGTACGTGTGTTGCAAAATATCTAACGCAAATGTTGCTGTTGTTGTTGTTGTTGTTGCTATTGGCGGATGCCAATGGACTTGCAGCCGTGGGCCCAATGTCAAAGCATTTTTGCCAATTGGCTGCGCTTTGCAGCCACCCCGCCCCCTTGTCCCGCCCCGCCCACTAGCCGGATGGCCATCACGCGTAAACCGTCGCGCGATGGTCGAAACAAACAACTGGTCCGTAGTGAAACGCAATTAAAACAACATTTTGCAGTGCGAACGCTTTGGACTGATTTCTTGGCTTGTTTTTCGTGCATTTGCGGGGATGCGTTTGCGAATGCGAATGTTAATGGCCGCATCTGCATCGGGTTTGCCCGACCAAACGCCCGTCCGCCCTTTAGCGGCCCATTCGTTTTGCAACTTGGTTAGTCAGTGGGTCCTTTTGTTTGAAAGCGATTGCAAACCATTTGCCACGGGCACAATGCGCTTCATTTTGGGGCGCTTGGCCACAACAAACGTCAATTGAGAGCAACTGCATAGCAGTTGCACTATTCGGCTAGACCCCTGTGCGCCCACTGCCCTTCCCTTCCCATGTATCGCCAGCGCCATCAGCAGTCGCATCAACATGGCCCAAGGGCAAACAGAATGTGGAATGAGGTCTTTGATTTGGACATTTTGTTTCGAGTCCTTTGGGCGCAAATACAAAACGCAATCGCAGATTTGCCCTGCTCACTCACATACCCTAGCTCCTAAGACCTGAACTTGTTTTAAAATGAATAAGAAAGTGTATGTGTCGGGCCGGAGGAAGGCGAAAGCATCAAACTATATTTGTTACAGATATTCCCAAGCAGCATCAACAGTCGAGTCGACAGATTCGTATCCTCGATGCCAGGAACTCTGCGTGCTAGAGACTTACAATTTGGAATGTAGCTGCTTTCTTTGCCAGCGAAGATGAAGTTTGATTCAACTTATCGATAACTTGCCGCGTTTCCATGAAATCGATATACATTGATATGCATACAATATCGAAATTTGTCTTGTGACCTTAACTTGGATGCTCTTGGAAGTTATTAAACACAATTTTAGACCCACGACTATACTATGCGCAGGGTCAGACTATATATCTGCCTTAATGTAACTCAGGGGTATTTCAGGGTATCTGCTAGTCGGACACAGCCGGCTTGTGGCTTGTAAATTGAACTATTTTACGCTGTTCTTTGCTTGAGGCTTAAATAGCTAGATCCTTGAGCATTGAAAGGAATTTCAATGTTTAAGGAATTTACGTAATTAAATTCAATAAACAAACGCATTTCATTGACAAACGAATTAAGTTGCGGCAATCACAAAAGATAAGCAGGTCCGATGTAATTATAAGCAAATGTGAATAGAATAATATTCAATTCGAAACGTAGTCAGAGAGGGAGACAGAGAGACACAAAGCAAGAGTGAGAAAGAGAGAGAGAGAGAGAGAGAGTGAGAGAGAAATTACAATTAATTTGCATCAAATCGCATCAAAATATTTTAGATGCATTTTGACTCAAGATTTTAATTGACACAAAATGCGCCAAAGACATTTTGGGCAAAATGTACGAGGTTCTGGCCAGGATGAGGGATTGAGCGGGATGAGGGGCCTTTGGCAAATTGAAGGCTTATGGCCGTTGATTCTCACTTAAATTAGTGCATGGCATGCAATTATTTTATTGCACATCCTCTGAGCCCATGGAATTTCATTAGTCAAAGTCAAAGCCGAGCGCCCATTTGTCAGCCTGGCAGTCGAGGTGCAGCGTGCAGCGTGGGTGGGTGAAGTATGGGGGGGGGGGGGGGGGGGGGGGGGGGGGTGTGCTCGTAGAGATGTCTGCCAATCGATTTTCGGGACTTAAATTCATTAGAGAGACGCAAATTGTTGAGCGATTTGACATATTTCACGGGCAACATACCGTTTCCAACGCCAGGGCCGCTTCAAAAGTAATCCGAATATCAACTAATTAGATCTCGGATGCGTCCCGTTAATTCGCCGGATACAGATCCTTTATAGAAGCGACAGCAAGTAATCAAGTTCCATCCACCCCGAAAACGGCGAGCTGCATTATTAGCTGTAGTCTAAGGGTATCCCCCAGTCGGGCACTGTCGACTAGAGTACAGAGACTAGAGTACGACTAGAATGCAAATTGTATGGTTAAATAGGTCGTTAATAGGGCGTTGCCAGATTGCTGAAGCATTTCCCGTTAAAAAAATTGAATTTTTCCACTTACATTTGTACAGGCACATAGCCTGAGATATAGTATATATTTATACAAAAAGAATATATTTATGAGAGAGTATCGCATACCAAGCCATTGCAAGCGATTTCGATAACATTATCGATAAACGATAACTGCTTGGCATCGTTGTGCGCTAGCGCTGGCACTTTGATCAATTACTTATCGAACAGCCCCCGCAGAGTTCAAAGCTTTTCTATAGGACTGGCTTGCTGTCTGCAGTCGGTTCCAGATGATGGCCCAAACTGGTAGCGGGGCCTAAATCGAAATTAGTCACAAATATTCTGAGAGCAACAACAAAAACAAAATATCTTCACCAAAACTGTGATTAATTAACAAACATTTGTGCAGCTGCACTGAGAATTTTAAGGAGCAAGATTCTGATATACTTATGTTATTTAATGGATATAGGTTCTAGCTGATAGATCGACTTCAAGTCCTTGTATATTAAGGTCTAACACGTACATTTTTAACAAATTAAACATTTGTTTGTTAAATAAGCCAAAGAAATTGTTTCAAAAATTATATCCAACTGGGCATAGTGGTACTTTTTGGTATGCCAGCTCTTGGGACAACATCTTAACTTGGCTTTAACGACGGCAATGCAAATTGCGTGCGTTTATTTCATTTGCTGTGATATGCTCTAAGCAAAACTTTAGCATATTAAAAGCAATTTTCAAAATAGTTTAGCATTCAGTTGTGTGTGTGTGTGTGTGTGTGTGTGTCAGAGCCAATTACTAGCGGACGGCTAAGCAAATTTTCAATTACATGAAAACCAAGTGCAGCTCAAGAGGCCAGCCCCAAAAGCAGGTAGCTCCAACCGATGTGGGAAACATCTTTAAGCCGAAAACTTAAAACGCTTTTTGGCTTATCGCAAATGACAAATCTTAAAGTGTGCCTGCAAATGGCAATCGGGGCGCACAGTACGGGCAACAGCAGGAAGAGCAACAATGAGCGGCCATCTGCAGTGCGCCAAGGATTGAATACCCTTACCGACATGACGTTCCGAAGAAAAGCTATCATCGATATAGCTCTATCAGAGAAACTCTTTGATTGTATATAAGCTGTTTGGTAGATATCTGTAGAAGCAGAATAGTGTTCTCTTATGACCTATTTATCTATCAGAGTTTTATAATAGAGTAAGCCAATATTGATAGGATTTTGGCTTGTCAGTTAACACTAATCGCGAATATATATACTGGTGTTTGGGAATGTACACATATGCTTTGTTTGTCTGTGCGTTACAAGCTGCGTGAGGAACTTATAATACCCTACCAGAGAGAGAAGGAGTGAGAGAGAGAGAGAGCGCAACAACAACAATATGGCCAGCTTAAATAGGCCAATCGGCAAACATTGCCCAAAATGTCCAAAATGGCGTAATGCTCCAATTTAACTGCAGTCGCTGTAAATGTTAACGGAATAATCGCCCAGCGCCATCTGGCGGCGTGGTGTGGGCGCATGCCAGACACATGCCCCACCTGCGCACCGCCCACCTCCCACCTTCCGGCCCACCCCACAGTCCACCCACTCAGCCAAGCGAGAGTCCAAAAGAAAACGAAAAGCGACAACAAATAATCGTGAGCATAAACATTTGAGTCTCACTGTGTCTAACGGGTCCCAGCAGAGTAATCTCCCCCCCCCTGCCCCAACGTTCCCCCACCAAAAAGAAAAACCAACTGCTTAACGCCTCTGTCAGGGGGGCGGGGCGCGGCTTGTGTAATTGTCGCTAAGCTAAGTCAGGAATGTAGCTAAAAAGCAGGTAACTAACTATCTCTGAGCAAAATTTAAAATTCTATTTTTCTCCTCGTGCCTTTGCCGAGGGTATTATTAATGTTAGCATTCCTGCATAGAATTGAAAAAATGTGTATATATATTCTTGATGTGGATCGACTTTAAATGGGTTATTCCAGTCACCACATATTCTTGGTCAAAATTCACATTAAATATCCTATATTCAGATAGGCTAAAAACTCGGTGAAATCTTATCCGATTTTAATGAGGCTTGTAAATATAGCTCTTCTACGCGATTCTCACTAATTAAAGGGAGCCAGCTGCATTTTGCATCTAATAAACATTCTGTCGCCTCTTCTGTTCTTTAAGGGATGCGTTTATATCAAACTTGGCTTTCAAAGCTCTTCATGTGAATTCCATATTGAGTCTTTAATGAGTGAAAAACTCTCCAGATTTGTTTAGCTCTAGGCAGCTCATGAATCTAAGGCTGAACTATCAAAAAAAAAAATCGTTTGTGTAGGCGAAAAATTTCGGACAGCTTCGTCGAAATTGATTTGTATTCAGCTGGGCATGTCAAGATATCGCTATGGTGATCTAATACTAGAGGCCTTTATGGAGTTCCGGCGCCCAATGGCTCTCGAAGAAGTGGTGGAATATGTGGCCGAGATGGCGGACAGATCGATTGTCGAGGTGCGTCTGCCCGTGGACAATACACTGACAGCTGCCTGGCTGCATGGATTTGTACAGCGGGACAATGATCTCTATTCGCTGGTGGAGGACGTGAGGCCTCCGCCTGGTGGCACCGATCGCAGGACTCGCACCAATAGTTACACAAGCTACAGGAACAGACACAACTGAATGCCAGCAGCAGGCGTTGGGATTTTTTAGTTCGGTTGAGATGTTAAACTGGTATTGAAGAAATTTAGACTCTGAGTTTGATTGTGGATCCACAGACTTGCCAAGATCGAATTTAAGGCTTCTCGATTTCACGGGATTTCTTTATGCTGACACATTCTTTAAGGGTATAAGACGACACTCTCAATTCCAGGCCGAAGACAAAATAATTGTTGGTAGAATATTTAATCTAAGGCAAAAATCGTATTTGAACAACTCCAAAATTGTTCGAGAAAAAACGAACGAAAAAATATCAAAACCTTTTATAAAGTTGCACTTTGATTCCTTTCAAATTACCAGGCCTTAAATACAATTGTGTTTATATACTAAAGCGCAAGACGCTTCATTTCAAAATGAGCTTGTTTTCATTGGATATCGAAAAAGTGAAATATTTAAAATTTGGTGCAGCTAGTTCTTATTATTCCCGAGTCACGCTCAATTTGATCATATATCAATATCGAAATGTAGTGATATTATGAGAACGGAAGCAGATATGTATAAATGGTCGTTAGATCGTTCAGAATAGGTGCATATATATTTCAAATTTCAAAGTGCCAGCTCGCATAGTTAGGACGGATATGCCTAGATCCAAGCAGCTGTTGGTAATGCTCAAGATTGAATGTTTTTTGTGATCTGTCTGGCTGTTTCATCAATTTGCATATAACGTTAATGGCTTGTGGATAAAGAAATTATTGATTCAATTCTCAAATACGTGAAAAGAATGGGAATATAAACGGAAAAGGCCTTTTAACTCATCCGTGTAATATCTATCGTAGATCTCAGCCAAATTACAGTTTAGTTGGGATAAGATCATTTTATAATGGATGATAAAACCGTTTGTGTTCTCAGCTTAAAACCAAAATACCCATCCTTGGCTTTGTTCAGTGAAATCAGTTTAAATTGCTTTGCGACGAGTTCACGAGTGTGTGCCACTTGAATTTTGCCATAGACTTCAGCAGGTCGCCCAGCACAGCGCACCCATCGAAGTAACAAATCTACAGCTAAATGGTAAACAATTTGCATTTGTTGTTCGCTTTTAGCCCCGCCCCACTCCCCTGGACGTTAAGTTGGACGCCCAAAGGGCGGCAGTTGGATTGTCGCCTCAAATTGGTCTGTCAGGCGCTTGCGGTTTAATAGGAAAACTGCGCGACCAACTTATAACGTGCTCCACTTCCGTTTGCGCTACAGAGCCAACACAACTAGGACACTGGCCGGCAAAGCAGCTACGGTCAGGTGCCCCCGTCAGGTGCGCCGGCAGGCAGCCCGTCAGGCAAGCCCTCAGGCAAGCCCTCAGGCATTCCGGCTGCTCCCTTCCACAAAACTAAGACTATTAAATCACATTTTACGAGCCTTAAGTGCACAATTAAAAGCATTTCGTGAATGTTTGAAAATGTGGCGTTTCTTGGCTACAGTGGCCAACGCACCACCGCAGCAACTGACCCACCCGAACCCACTCGACCCACCTAACCCGCCTGCTGGCCCCGTCCAGCTACCTTGTTGCCATTTGCTGCTCTTTCGGCTGCTGTGTCTCTGTCTCTGTCTCTGTCTCTGTCTGTGACTGTGTCTGTGACTTTTCTTCTTCTCGTTTGCTGGGGCGTAATTAAATTTGCAGCTTCTGCCCCTTGAGAGGTTAGGTGAGTGGTAAGAGGAGGAGGTGTGGTGCGGGGGGGTTGTTTATTTGGGTCTTATGGGCTGCAGGTTTTGGGCTCTGAAAAACAAACAAAATCGATTATGGTTTGATGTTAATTTTTAAACAAGCAACTCGCAAGTAGAACAAGTTTTGGTTAAAAAATGCTTAAATATGGCATTGGCTCGCTTTGGGCTAGCGGCGGGGCGTTGAGGGTTAAGAGGATTGGCGTTCATTTAGAATTCCAAGCAGTTTTGACAAATGCCTTTTAAATATTTTCAAATTTGCGTGAAGAAACATGCAAACAACGTCCAAAATTGGTTTAAAATTAGCCAAGAAATAAACAACAAGGTGTATTTCTAAAGAACTAGAAAATTGTCTTGAAAATAGTTGGAAATTAATTTGTTTTTAAACCTTTGTTCGAACTGTTTTGAAAGCGCTTTCAAAATTGTTTTTGAACGATCAATATCATATCTGAGATCCTAGAAAAGCCATATTTGCTTTAAAAATGGCTTTTAAATACTTGCCAAGCTTGGGGCGAGGTGTCTTGATGAATGTTAAAAAACTGTTACATAAATGTTTTAACAGCGCTTCGACAACATGGCTTTCAATGTTGATAAGATACAACAAAGTGTAGGATATAATTACAAGCCCCACATCCAAACACCTGGCCGGGGTTCGAACCGAGCTCCTTGTTTCTGCCTTGCTGCTAATCAAAAGCCCGTCAAGACGCTGGCGCACCATCCTGTTAGAGCGGGGCAAAAGGCGGCCAGGGCCATCACAAAACGCAACTAAGTAATATGAACTTAGTAGGCGTGTGAAGTGCACACTTAATGGGCTGTTGCCTGCGGGTGGTAGGCTAAGGATAGGGCTTACATGGATGGAGAGCGTGCGCGGGGGCTTTGTGAGACTGCAGCTCGTGTCACTCACACCACTTCAATGTGCTTGACACACACACACACACACACACACAGGGAGAAACATGGCTCACCCCTGTGCCGCATCCAGCTCCAGCTCCAGCTTCAGCTCCAGCTGCAGTTCGAGCTCGAGTTCCAGTTCCACTCTACGCACACGCCTAAGTGCGGAAGCATGTTCAAGTGTGCTGAAAATGGAAAGCAATGTGTTACTAGTTCCTCTACATCTTCCACTTTTTCATCATCTACTCTACATTTGAATACCCTGTACATGAGCAGAGCGCATGTGAAGAGGATACTTTGGTACCTATCACAAATCAATCTGAGATTATTTTTCAGTTGAAAGTTTTAGAAAATAATTTCCAAAATTCATGTTTTTATTTATTAAATAAAATGTTGCAGCATGCACTCGATTTGTGTACAGGGCACTTGCAAGTCGAGCAGACTCGTCTGGCACGAGCTTAATATTTTTATACATATTTTAATTTTAATTTTGTTTTTGTTGTTGCTGTTCTTGCTGCTGTTGTTGTTGTTGTTGTTGTTGTTGTTGTGGCATGACGTCACGCCCTTGCGGCCCAGTTCAGACATTTGACGACTCAAAGCGGCTGAAACTTGCCCCCAACGGCGAAAGGCGAGGCAAAGCGGCAAAGGAGCAGCCCTGACGTTGACATTAGCTGCAGTCGCCGGCTCGTACGAGAACGTGGCAAATGATGGACGCACACAGTCGCTGGGTAGGGAGAGGGGTTAAGGCGGGGAAAGGGGCTTGCTTTCGGAGCGGTATCTATTTCACGAATATGCCAGTACTTCCGGCGCTGGCCGCCTTTCCTGGATAACCTGCTGCTTCTGGCGTCCAAAGGCTGGGCAGGATGTTGGCATCATGTCGCTACATCGGGTAGTTGGCTCAGCGTCTGTGAGTGGAGCCGCCTTGGTGCTGACTTTAAAACGCAACATTTATGTAGTTTATTGCATGTTTGGACATGTACGTGACATTTTGCCAATCGCACAGGATGCGGCCCAGCGCTGACAGCCGGATATATGCATATGCGCGCACCAAGCGACCAGCTACGGCTCTTTGTCTTTGGTCGTTAGCGATTTGCTATCTATGCACAGCTCCCGGTTTCACATTGACAAAGGCCTCAAATCCCAAGCCCAACAGTGCGCTACAAAAGTCAGCTGTCAAAGTGGCCACATTTGAATGGAAATCATGCCAAACCCAAATGCGCTCAACTATCTCATACGAAACGCGGAACGTACATGTGGAGCACAAGGACTGCCTGCAAATGGGACAGCATTAAAATGAGGGTTCCATCGTGGCATAAAGAGTTAAGTGGCTCAGTTTAGGATTCAAGCTGATGTTTCGTTTTGTTGAACTGGTTTTCATGAAACCAGCTTATCGTTGAGTTCTAATATATTCCTTAACTGAAACTGAATAGAGCTCGGTTCATTCCTAAAAACAGAAGAATCCGTACCCTTTGAACATCGGTTAATGCAAGTATATATACAACTGTGGCCTTAATGTGGGATAATGGAAGATAGATAAATCATGGACTTTTTGGATACCTTCCGGTGTTTCCACCAAAACTGGAAAATAAGCATTTATGAAGGTAGAACCTTAAGATTAAGTATGTACACACTTTTTAATGCCATTTTCGAGCCCTGAACATATCATAAGAATCGGACCATAAACAGCCGAGTTAGTCAGGAACACATTTCGTATAGGGTTGGCAATGGCAATGCAAAGCAGAAGCACGGCAGAAAGATTAAGTGTGCCTGTGTGTGTGTGTGTGTGTGATTTAGTAGATATATGTGTTAGAGGAAAGTACTATTGATTGGGACGGCTGCTCGCAAGCTGGTTACAGGGTATCTCCTGGTGGGGCACTTCCCAATTGAGCACACTCTTTTTTTAGGTATTTATACTTTCTTGCTTGACATTAGGTAATCCCCAACTGTTCGTGTGCCCTAATGCAGTGCTGGCAAGCTCAGCGTCTGAGGTCTGGCCAAAAGTGCTCAGACCCATAAAATTCACATAGCATAACTAATAGGTCTTTTGCCCCAAGTTTGTAGCTGCCTTTTGCACTGGCTGTACGCGTATCGTTTGTTTTGTCCTGCGGCGTTGTCCTTGCGTCCTGTCGATTGCAGTTCAATGCACGCGCATTGAAATTGTTTTCATTATTTCATTTCATTTGGCCACGCAATCTGCACCTGAGAGTTATGGGCCCATGGCGCTCCATGGATGGAAGCCAAGGCCCAAAGCAGCCTAAAAGCATGCAATGCCAATAAGCGTTAGCCATTCAATAAATACGACGACGCTTTCCAGCGATTGCTGGCAGAGAAGCCGGCGGAAAAATATTCGTGAAGTTCAAATGAAAATGCATAATTCAAACTTAATGCAAACGCAAACAGTTTTTCTTTAGTTCTCGCTCTACCTTCCAGCCGTTTTCACCAGCTCCCACTCCTCTCTCTCTCTCTCTCTCTCTCTCTCTCTCTCTCTCTCTCTCTCTCTCTCTCTCTCTCTCTCTCTCTCTCTCTCTCTCTCTCTCTCTCTCTCTCTCTCTCTCACTCTCTTGCTATCTAGCTCTGTGTGTACAGGTGCAACAGCGTGTGCTTAAATTAAATATTGACAGTTGGAGTTGTCCTACGTGCATGTAAGCCCCATATTATGATTGTGTGCGTGCGCTGGGTCCCTGCTCGGGCGACAGCAATAAAAACAAGCAGAACAAGGGTTTTTTTTTTTTTTAGTCCAGTCTGCCCGACTAGTCCCGATAGTCGATATTCCCGCACTCCAACCCGAACTGAGGGTATATCTAAAAAGT